AAAAATGATCCAATTTCTTTTTCTGGGATTGTTTTTCTGGTTAAAAAACATTTTATTATTTTTATTTTATGTGTATGAGTATATTGCTTGTATATAGGTAAGTGTACCCATGCCATGCAATGCCCGTGAGGCCAGAAGAGGCCATCGGATCCCCTGGAACTGCAGCTACAGACAGTTGTTAGCTGCCATGTGGGTGCTGGGATTCGAACCCAGGTCTTCTGCAAGAACCACCAGTGTTCTTAACCACTGAGCCATCTCTCCAGCCCCTGTTTTTCTACTTTTAAACTGTTCTTTTAGGGCTTCTCCAACCAACAAAAAATTTCCTTTACCAAGTATTTCTGGTAGTATAGCTCTGATTTCTCTTGAATACATTCCCTGCCCCCACCAAAGTCTTCCTCAAACATCTTTCAGTTTCTAAGGCCACTGACTCATCTTACTACGTGAAGCACTGGAGAGCAGGGTGTCATAAAACTCAAAAGCAGAGATTAGCTCTTTCTGGAACGTGAAGAACATTTGATCATGGATGACTAGACAAGCAATTGTTTCTCCTATTCAAGCAGAGACTATAGCAAGTCAATGGCTGAGCCATTTGCTCAGGTCATTCATTCAGACCAAAGGAACTGTCAGGTAATTCATTAAGGATTTAAAACACCTCTGAGTGCGTTAAATCGGTCTGGAAACTAGAGAGGAAACAAAGATTTTTACAAGTGACTTCAGGGAATCCTGGATTATCTACTTAGCTTGAGGGGTAGATATTCAAAAATTGCAGAAATAACAAGGAAAGGTAGTCATTTTCTTGTAAGAAAGGGGCCCTCACTGCAGAAATTTGGGAAGCCAGTGTCACAGGACTCCAAAGGAGATTTTCCCCCAAAACCAAAGGTTATACAAAAAAGTGTCCTACAGACAGAGGGCCCTAGACTAAGTGTGGAGAGTAAATGGAGAGTAAGCACTAACCGGTTTACAGTATTAGTTTCTATGACTCTCAAAAACACTCTACTGGTCACCATCTGTGGTGATCATCCTCCTGGTGACCACAGCAGAGATGCAGACGTGCACTCTGATTACCACCTGGTAATCTCCAGGATTGTGTGCAGATGTTGGCAGTTGTCAGAGAAAAAGAAAAGCAAAACAGCCAGTCCTGATGCACTGAAAGAATTCTCTAACAGTAACCTTCACTCTAGTTCCATTGGGAACTACCTTTTTTTTTTTTTTGGTCTTTTTGAGACAGGGTCTCCCTGTAGCCCCAGCTGTCCTGGAACTCACTATGTAGACCAGGCTGGCCTTGAACTCACAAAGATCTGCCTGCCTCTGCATGATGCCACCACACTGGGCTGGGAACTACTTATAAAAAAATTATTATTATTTTTATTTTATGTGCATGAGTGTTTTGCCTTCAGGTATATAAGTGTACCACATGCGTGCAATGTCCTGCCAAAGCCAAAAGAGGGTGTCAGATCCCCTAGAACTGGAGTTACAGATGGTTGTTAGTTGCCAGGAGGGTGCTGGGACTCAAACCTGGGTCCTCTGAAAGAACAGCCTGTGCTCTTAACTGCTGAGCCATCACTCCAGCCTGAGAACTACTTTTAAATAAAAAACCAGCCTCCTGTGTTCTTGTTACAAGAAAAAAAGACAGTGTGGCAGAGAGTTATTACCTTGGACTAAAAACACATGAGGCAAAAGGCACCTTCTCTCTCTCAATCATTCACCAGCATTTGAAAAAGCATACACAGAGATAGTTTAAAATAGGAGACTTCATTTATGCCAAATTCTCAAAGCATCCTACTCAGGAAAATATCAATTATACATGTTATGATAGAAATGCTCAATATTTTACAGTATGTTTCCAAATTAGAGATGCAGTCCACCATATCAACTACTGTCAGGAGAAAGTATTAATAGCAGCAAGTTTATAGTCTTAAAATTTAAATTTGATCACTTTCCCCTAGATTTATAAACTTTCAAAATAGCTGCACACTTTCAATGTGAAATATACAAAGAATCACATGTTTGTGTTTTATGTCTTGACTTTGTACATTGAAGTTATAATACTGGGCCTCAGAAATACTTCAATGTATCTCCATTATTATTATTATTAGTAGTAGTAGTAGTAATAGCTATAGTAGTAGTAGTAGTAGTAGTAGTAGTAGTAGTAATAGCTATAGTTTCCCATGGGTTATCTACATTTTCATCCACTCTCTCTCTCTGGCCTGATGATAAACATTTAAAAATATGCAGTGACACAGATTTAGTAATTGTCTGCAAAGAACTAAAGGGCATTGGTCTCTAAGCAGTCCAGAATAGGAATACATCATTTACACAGGAAGATTATAACTCACTATTACTGTCTTTAACCTATCATCTCTTTGCTTTCAAAATCCAAACTAAAGATGGGAACTAAGCAAGAGTTTTACAGTCAATCTTTTGTTTTAAAATCCACTGGCTAGCAGAGCTAAGAACATTCACACTCCGCTTGTCATTCTGACAGAGAGCTTCAGTCCCTGCCCTGAGGGTTCAGGCACCAAAGCAGTTAGATAAATGGCTATTTATAAACCTCGAAACGGGCAAAGAGCTATGTCTTCAGTGATGAGAATGGGTGGTCCTCTCTATGCCAGTTTACTACTCTTTTCCTGAAGTTAAAGCAGAGGCTTTCATCTCACACAGCCACAGCTGAACCAGCCAAGAGGGTGAAGCCACTTTACATAGCCAACAGCCAGTCATTCGGCATGAAAACTTTTGGAGCTCTTTTATACACACACACACACACACACACACACACACACACACACACACACACACACACACACAGGATATAACCAAGAATCAGAATCAGAATCTATCTGGTGTTGTCCCAGAGGAAAGAGAAAGAACTGAATGTTAAAAACAAAGTGACAAGGCAAACTAAAGACATTTAGTGGTGTTAGGCAAGGGTCTCTCAAGGCACCCTTGACATCTACTTCAGTACCCATAAAAATCCATAAAAGTCCATAAAGCTGGGCGTGGTAGTGCACACCTTTAATCCCAGCACTGGGCACTAGGAAACAGAGGTAGATGGATTTCTGTGAGATTGAGGCCAGCCTGGTCTACATCGTGAGTTCCAGGCCAGCTGGGGCTACAGGGAGACCCTGTCTCAAAAAGATCAAATAAATAAATAAATAAATAAATACTTACAACAAGACTGATTCTTCATGACCTGGTTCTATAACAATTTATCCTTA